AATCAAAGAAAAATGATAAAAATTACCTTAAAATACGAAATCTAGGGTTGTCGGCGGCGTGAGATCCGGAGTGAGATCGACGACGATCGGAGCTCGAAGATACGGCATCGGCGGTCGGATTGGGGTCGGCGGTCGGAGATGCTTCATCGATGGCGATAAGCGGAAGTCGATCATGAGCGGAGGCGACGGCAGAGCGACCGAAATGAGAGAGAGAAGGAAAAAATAGAAATGAAATGCGCGGTGCGGGTCTGTTCGTATTAGGCCATTTACTGGCAGTTTTCCGACTGTCCGGACCGCCGGCAGAAAATAACTTATCAACGGTGGTCCAGGCCGCCGTTAAACCGCCTGTTTATATTGATGTCTTGCAGTTTACCGGCGATTTATGGACCGTCGCTAGTACCGATGGCTTAACGTACCAAACCCATCGGTCAGGCCGCCGTTAAAAGCCGTCGAAATCGCCGGTGTGACCGACGGTCCATAAATCGCCGGTTAGAACCGCCGGTAATAGGCATTTTTCCTGTAGTGATAGAAATGTACTCCTCAAGCTTAAGGGAGAATTCCATAAGATGAGGTTGTGACCTATGTTTTTCAAGCCTATTTTTGTGATATAATTGTTGCTGTTAAAAAAGAAGCATACAATTAAGTTAAGTGTTTTAGAAATGAAGATGATTAGGTAGATGAGTGATAAGTGTAAATAATGTATTATTTTATGTATTATATTTTAGTGAAAATGTATTATTTTAGTTGTATTATGTAGAAAAAATGCATAAAAATTTAAGTTTCATATAGCATCACGACATTAGAATAAATAATGCTGAAGTGCTATAAAAGAAATCGCTGGAGTGCCATAATATTAGCATTGCATCACCGACTTCTCTTCGAGCAGTGCCATAGCAGTCAAATATTAACTTTACAAAGCCAAGTTTTTTTTTTATCAAGCACCGCTGCATTATAATTCATATTTCCTCGATGCCTAAATTGCCCTCTCGTTGCCACAGCATCCAAAAGTCAATAGTGCTAGCAGTTAAAACTTTCTATGGACATGATTTGTCTATGAAGTGATGCGACTGTTCACAAAGTAACTGATCAACGTCAACAAGCGTAATGGTGGCACCAGAAAATTAGCACAGCAGCATTACTTTATTTATTAGGCACAGTGGAACCAATCTTTCTAGCACCGTAGTGCCAGACGCCTATTTTATGTTTTCCTATAAATAATCATTGTGTTATATTTTTAAGAGAGTTCATTCACTTGGATAATTTCAATCCAATTCAAAGTATTTCTCTGAAACTCACTTAGGGTGACAACTAAGGTAATTTAGAGAAGTACTTGATACAATCATTAGAGTGTTTGACTTATGTTTGAGGAAGCAAATATGTAAGTAAAGAGGAGTGTAGAAGAGATCCATTGAACCATTTTGGTGATATTTATCTCTTGTATTTTTTTTATCATCCTATTAATAAAAATGAGTTTACTTTAATTTTAATCCAAGCCTGGCTAAATTCTCTTAGTTTGGATTAATGGGGTAAGTATCATATGTAGCACTAATTAATTTTCTTATTCCTTAAATGATTAAAAAGATGTTTTCAATATTTATAGATCTTCATTTAATGTATATAGTTGTCATGTGTGTAGTTAAAAGTAGATGTAATGTGGGGCATTGACGGAGGGAAGCAAACATAACCATGAATATTGAATTAGTAAGCATCATACATGGGCATAAGATATGAAATATATTAAATTCTTAAGAAGATAATATAAACGTAAGAAGTCGATAGACATCCACTATTCCTACAAGCAAGACAGAGATCTAGGAATGCATATGCTCTAAATAGCATCACAATTAAAAGTGCTTCATTAGAAAAAATATGTTATTTACATTCATCAATCCAAAACATTATATTTATAGTATATTCATTATATTTATCTAATTTTATTTAAGTGATTAAATATCCACAACCTTTATTTTTATTGAGTATGATAATTTTTATAATTTTAGTAGATAATACTAGTGTTTGCAAGTGAGCACATATTTCTTGTGTTAATGATACTCTATTCTATCACTATATTACTTGATTTGGCACATATACTTACCTATTAAGAGGAGATTTAATAATTTTTATGTATCAAAGAAAACCTAAGCATTGTTAGGGATTGATATAACCCAAATTCATTTCATAATTTTATAGATTATTCCATTGTCCTGCATCAAGTTTTTGGCGCCGTTGCCAAGGAATATTTCACATTTTGTAAAAATTTCATTGTATTATTGAATTAATTACAGATTTTAACCTACTTATATTTTTTCTTTTTATATTTTTCTATTTTTGGTTGCATGATTTATAGTCTTAGAAATAAATTAGTGACATTTGATTCTGAAATTAAGAGAACCCTTTCTAAAATTTGGAAAACTAAAAAAGATCTTGAAAAATGGATGAAACTTGAGGTAAAGAAAAATCTTTTGAGACCTCTTAAGTATTATACAAACCCTTTAGTAGACAAAAAATTTCAGAGTATAAATATACCTACAGACCAAGCTAATAATTTTGAATTAAAACCAACTATCATTCAAATGGTTCAAAATTCTCAATTTAGGGGAACTCTTGTAGAAGATCCCAATTTATATTTAGCTAGTTTCTTAGAAATTTGTGTAATATTTAATTATAATAATGGTAGTGATGATACTATTAGACTCAGATTGTTTATCTTTTCTCTAAGAGATAAAGCAAAATATAGTTGAATTCTTTATCCCCAAGCTCTATAACCACTTGGAATGAATTGACCTATACGTTTCTCGCTAAGAAATTTTTACCCTTAAAAACTATAAAACTTAGAAATGACATAACTTCTTTTACTTAGTTTGAAGGAGAATCCAATTATGAGCGTTAAGAAAGATTTAAGAAAATACTTAGAAATTGCCCACATCATGCATTACCTGATTGGTTGATAATTCAAATATTTTACAATGTATTAGTAGGATCTCTTACAGTCATAATTGATGTTGTAGTTGGAGAATCTATAATGTCTAAGCCATTTGAGGAAGTTTATGAATTAATAGAAGAAATGAAAACTAATAATTTTCAATGTCCTACTGATAGGGTAAATCCTAAAGAAGTAGTTAAAATTTAGAAATCGGATGCTTTATCAATTTTAATTGCACAAGTTGTAGAAATTTAAAAAAAATGAATATAATAGTAATAAATTTTGGAATACAAATAGAGATCTCAGGAGCTCAAAATTTAATTGAAGATAATAATATTTAAGGGACTGAACACATTAATGTAATTGAAAAATTGGTTAGTGATATTAAGAATGTTGCAAAAAATGTGCTTAAAGTATCAAAGGGAAAAGCTCCTTGAGTTTCCTTAGGAGTATGTGTGGAAGGGTTATCAATATTACTCAATTATGGCTCCTCATCTCTGATATTGGTGATGTACGAGATCATGAGGGTGTGGGAGGTTGTGCTTTGCTTATACTAGTGTTATGGAAAAAAACTAATAATATTATTTTCTATAAATGTGCCATTACGGTAACCATTGTCCCACTAACTATATCCTCCTATCCTCATGTGCATGCAAGTTATTAATATCTAAAACTCCAATATCATTTTCATACTAATCTAAGGACGTGACTATCATGGAGGCTTGATGATAAAAGAGTGGATGCAATGTTGGCAAAGATTGCTACAATAAATGATAAAGGAAAGAATTTTTTTTTATTTGAATTTTAGCCAGAAAGAATAAATTATAAAATAAGCTAAAATAAGCTATGATAGAAATATATCTTAAGAAAAAAAATAACAAAAATATCTATAGAATTATAAAATTAAGTTTTTGTGATAAGATATCATATTTAGGTTAATATAGCTTAAAAGTAGAACTCATATCCCATAAATGAAACTCTTAATTAATTTTAGGAGATTTTAAGTTCACTCTTAGGGCTAGGTTTGGAATTCAAATGGTGTAATGGTTTAACATTCTATACATTTTTAATTTATAATGCTTTTGTTGGTTAAGTCATCCCAATTACATCAAATGCATATTTTTATCATAAATTTACCCACTTATAAAAAGTTGCATTAATCATGCTATAGACCAGAAGTTGGTGGGTGCATCAATGTTGGATATTTCATTTATCATATTTTCTTTTTTATTTTTTTTACTCCACCTTAATAAGGATATTCTTTTTTAAAGTTGTTGTTTAATCTTATATACCCAAAATCCTTCAATTGTATGTGGCTTTGTCACCCCATGATTTGGGGCCTAAGGTCCCCACTGAGGAAAGGCTTCATATAATAAAATTAATATGAAATACCACTCATTGGTGGTGGTAGAGCACAAGTCTCTTATGCTTGCTCAGACCGAACTTTGGGTATATATATATATATATATATATATATATATATTATTTTATTTAATGTGAGGGGATGTAGGGGAATCCAATGTAAGAGATTTGGTACTTAAAAGGTTTTTAGAAGGTGGAGATCCAAAGGTAGCTATGATATACCAAGGGATAGTGAGATTTTGAGATGGATGATTTTTCTAGAGCTAAGGATGGTTAACATAAGGATATGGAGTTATGTACGGTGGTTCTAAGGTACTATTGATATGAACAAATTATGCATATTTTTTATCAACTAACAAGTCATGCTTTAGATGATGGCCTGACAACTCAATTGTTTGAGAGGAGAAATGTGTAATAGCCCGAGGAGAGCAATTTCTTATGATGCCTCATCTATTGATGAGAGATGGATGAAAACCCTAAGCAAGACAATGCTTTTTCTCTTTCTTTGAGGGAAATATTTTATGTCTCATCTCTTTTTTTTGGAAGATATATTATTTTCTTACCAACATTTTGCCTAAAATAAAAGACCAAATATGATTTATTATTATCTTGATACAATACCTTCATTCCTATTTTTTCTCTTAGGTTTCTTTTTCTTTTGGGGATAGCTACACTATAAAGAAATGTATTTGTTAAAGGATTTGTTTTTTTTTTTAATGTGTTATGAGTTAATATTGATGAAAATAATGCTATATATGTGTTTACACACACACACACATATTACATAACAAAATACTATCAACCTTATTGGTTTTTTGAGTGAAAATGAAATTTTTAATGAAAATAAAGATGGTGATATTGATGATTATGTAGATAATGATGGTGATCAAGAAACTAATGTTGAAGAGCTTGATGAAGAAAATGAAACTTAAAATGAAATAGAAAGATAAAAAATAAAGAAGACATCAAATGCTTAAGAGGATTTCATAGATGTTAATCTTCCTAATTCTTGACGGAACAGAAAATGTTGCATTACCCAAAAAAAAAAGCTATAGGAATCACATATATAACCTGTAACACTCCAAAGTCTAATTTTTTAAGAAGTATTTAAATATCTATTAATTAACCAACCAAAGCTTATATGAATTCTTTAATATAAATTAATATAGTAAAAGAAACAAAAAATTATATACCTAAAAATATAAAACTATATTCATCCCTCAAAATTCATGTACAAAAGCCAGAAGATCAATTATTGCATTCACTTCAACTTTCTAAGATCCTAACTATAAATGAATAAAATTAAAGAATATGCAAAAAATAAAATAAATATTGATTTTTACATCTGCCTCACTCCTTTAAATCCAGACCCCTTTCCTAAAAAATATGTAAAGCTCAGTAGGCTACTAGAACCTACAATTAAAATCAATGCAAGGTAATATTAATAGTATTCATATAATCATTCAATAACTATAAGTATGAACATATAACTATAAAATCATGTAATAATAAATGAAATAGTAATAGGTTAAATAATTAATAAACATTAGTACAACTATATATTTTAAGAGTAATGATCACTTAATAGTGATCAGCAAGTTCAATCAACCATATACCAACAACTATAAAAAAGTTTATATAGCTTCTTATTACATCAGTACACCTATCATTATAATATGTATGTCATACAATATCTATGTTATACATGTATACCATGTAATTCATATATCTTAAATGGCTTTGTATCAATTTTTTTAGTCTTATCATATACTTGCATTAGTTATAGCTATATCTTATGTAAATCATGTCATGTCAAATATATATATCCAAATGATCATCCACTAATGATCATCCAAATGATCATAAATGATATGGATAATTCAAATCCAATTATTCAAGCTTAAAACGCAATTCAAACCCAAAAAATTCAGACCAAAATTCATGAGTAAAAGGCAAAGTTCTGAAAGACTTTTTTAGTGAATGTTCAAACACTTCTAAACCCAATCAAATGACCTCTGATATGACATGTCTCTAGAGGGAACTCTCCAAATTTGAGCTCATTTTATGGTCTCTAACCTCAGAAATTGAATTGAAATTCAAAGGCTGTAAAACCTTAAGATATTTACAGCCTATGCCACTAGACCTGCCACCCAGTGGATTTTGACCTTGGAGCTTTCTACAAAGCCTCCAATCACTTCTAGACACTTGATTATAACCTATTGAATATTAAACTACACTTTGGTGGACCCATTTTGACCCCCAGTTGACCAGGGGACAAAATGACCAAAATACCCCTTAAGGATTCAAATAACAATTTCAAATCAAATGAACTCCAAATTGCTTTGAACCACTTCCAACAATTTTCAAATATCAAACCAAACCTATTGGACCCAAACCTAGACCATGGGTCAACTTGGTTGACCAAATCAACCTAGGTTGACCAAACAGGCCCTTAGGGTCAAAATATACATTTTGACCAAATTATCCTCCCCAAACCTTAGGACCACCTTCATTGGCCACCAAATGTCATTTCAAATGTATTGAACCCATTTCCAGACCCGTAACCCACCATTAAGGGATCAGACATGTATTTTGACCTAATTGACCTCCTGAAACCTTCAAAACACCTCCAACAAACTCAACACAACATTTACAACCCGTTGAACCTAAAATTGGACCTAGACCCAATCACTAGTTGACTTGGTCAACTAAGCCCGAGTCTGATCAACTCAAGCTAATTTGGTTCAATCCCTTGAATTCAATCAAAACAACATCTTCAAATCTTCAATCTCATTCCAAGATATGGTTCAAACATATCTAAACTCATTTGAAATCAAGCCATGTTCTATTAAACCAAGTCAAGTCATTTTGACTTGGTCAAACCGATTCAAAACCCCTTAAATTACCACAAACTTCAATTGTATGGTTTAACGTTCATTCCATCCAATGAGTGGTGCCACCTTGCATGCCACATCAGCTACCTTGACCCATTGACTGGTCAAATAGTCAATGGAGGGTAAAAGTAGCCTCCAAATGGTTTAAACCTTTGATTAAACCACTTTAACTCAAATACATTTAATCCCAGCCATTCCAGCAGTCTTAGAGACCCTCTAGAATGTTCCTAAGCTAGGATTAAGCCTTAGATTTGAAAGTTCGTTAGGGATGTTAAGTCCTATGAACGTAGTCCCAAGCTAACCAACAGGGGGGTGAATTGGTATTTTAAAATTTCTTTTCACAAA